ATTCAACATGATTTCAAGCTCCTGAAACCTGACAGATCATACTGCATAAAAGCTTCAAAACTGTGATATAAGCAAAGGAGGCACTTCTACTTTCTGTATCAGCCCAAGGCATCTGCTGACAGTCTATTAGGCTCACCAGCAGACAGAATAATGATGGACTCAGTAACCACTGCTTCAATGATGTTGCTGCATGTTCTCTTTACCTTCGGCCCAAACACCAGTAAAGAGTTCAGAATCAGCATGTATCTTGGGCACACATATTTTGAAGTGCTTAGACATGTACTGATGAATTCAATCTGTGTGTCAGAGGATGTAATAATATGTGTAAGAACCAAATATAACTCATGGAAATCAGAATAGAGTCTCTCTTATGACTGCTGGAAAGTGATCTTGGGAATTGTTTTCAAAATCAGAGGGCAGCTATATTATTCTGTAATTGGAGTTCTAAAAACTGGAGAATTCTGAGAAGTTTCACATGCAAAAAGCTTCAAAAACCACTCCAAATAAAACTACTGCTTGAAGATTTTAACTTTAATCCTACAGTGCTCAAACAATAAGCTGTATTACTCTCATAACCTAATTTAGGCAAATAACATGAAACAATTTAACCAAGTTTTACCAAACTTGACCAAACCCTACTCTGAATCTGACTAAGCAAAATCATAGTGCTGAAGTGACAGAAGAATCACTCAAACACCCTCGCAGTTGACAATTCCAGCATCTTCTTCAGTCATCTCCTAAGAACAATGTTAACTTTTATTGTTAGTATTACTAATACCTATATTTACTTTGAGACACACATCTAGCATACTGGTATAGTACATTCTTTCTACAGATTGACAAAACACAGAATACTCCAATAGTAAATTAGACAAAGACTTCAATAAACTCTGAACTTGTTGTAACAAAGAAGCTATTTGCACCAAACTGCATCTGTCAAAACACTTTTCTGAAAGGAAACCAGTATCACAGGATCTCTATATTCAATTGCGAGACATGTTGCAAAGCATTGGCTTCCCAAAGAAGTAGGTTTTTGGATAGTTGCTGATCATTAGAACTGAAAAATAAGCTTAAGTGGTTTGTATTATAAGACCTTATCCCCTTTTTACAAAATGAGATGTGAGATACTAAAGCTAGAAATGGGACTTGTACGCTGCCAAGCTTTGATGCATCTAGCTGTCTACTGAAATTTATGATATTGGAGTCATCGAGATTTCTGGTAAAATACAAAAGATTACGTGGTATATAAGAAAGGTATCTACAAAAGAAAACAAACCAAACAGCTCCTTTCAAGAAGCAATAGAAAGTCCAGAAGCAAAAGACATACTTTCTCCTATGCACCTCTATATCATTTTATTACCTCACTATGAGCTGTGTGAAGACATCTTGAATTTAAAAATTAGGGCCCTGAATCCTCTACTGTATTTATGTACCTTGATTCTCCCTTCCAAGTAAGGAGACTGCAGAGGTGGCTTAACAGTATTTTTTTTACTTAAATCAGTAACTGGGAAGAGGAAAGATCTAAGTTTCAGTGCCTACTTCATCAAGAAAATAATTAATTGCTTTATAAAAATTATGCAATGAATGACAGCCTTAACTGTTCCTTCATACTGCCAAAGCTATCTTGTTCTGAAACATCTTTTCCTTGTTCCAAGGAAAATTTTATTCTCACTCTTCCAACAATGCAATGATTGCAAAGATATGTAAAACTTTAAATAACAGAAACTCATAGTGCTCTTCCCTGCCTCTTCTGCAGGAAACCTGCAGATTTACCATCAGGCCGCTCTCCCTTTGGAGTGTGAAGCGTCCCTATCAAGCACATATCTTCAGCCTCCCTCTTACTGAAAATATTAAGGGACAGTAATTCTTCAGTTTCCCTGTGTGGCAGGAACCTAAGGCACTATTTCAAAGAAGAAATTTCCTGGAAGAAATGCCAGCTTAAAGAGTCCCTACCTCATATTTCCATGCTGTTCATTCCCACCCTTGCTACATTCTACTATTTGTTCTGGAATAACTGCTGAAAAGGTAGAGTGGTAAAACTTTAAAACAAACAAACAAAATTATTTTTAACCTGAATCAGTTGACTGATCCAATTTACCACATGGCACAGGCAACAGTTGTGTCAACACCACAAAGGACTAAAAGGGCAGAAACAAGCAGTCAAACATGAACAGTAAGTTTCTGCATTAGCATAGAGGAATTCCTAAATTCATATTCACAGATACCAAAGCCTTTTTATGAGACTGAGGATTAATCTTCAGCATTGTAAAACAGGTGGAAGGAGCAGTAAGACGGAGGAAGCAGCAGTAACAGATGGAGCAGCCACAGGATAAAAACTGGGAAAAAATAGTATGGATGTACCTTTTTTCTCTTTATATGCGTGTAGCTTTGTGTGTTTATATATATATATATATATATACACACACACACACACACACGTATATATACACACACATATAAAGACCCCAAGGATCTTAAAAATTTACTGAAACTATCTTGTATGTATGTATGTTTAAATGTAAAGAATTAAGTAGCACAGAAAAGCAAACCCTCCAAATCATAGTTAATGGCATTGAACTATAGTTTTTCTCCTGACTAAAAGGGACTCTTACAAAAACCTAAGTCCTGTGGCATAAACAGAAGTAAGCACATGCACACACCTTTACCTAGAAGTTGGGTCATGTACTGGGCCTTCAATTCTGCATTAAAGAAACAAACAGCAAAGTGCCACCAAAAATATAAAGCCATTTCCAGCATTATTTCGAGGAATCGGTGAAAGAGTAGTTATGCACACCCTGAAAAAAGTAACAGATTTTGGGGAGGGGATGGAGGGGGAAAGCTACAGGGTACAGAATAGGGCAAAGGGGTGAAATTTTTGGGAAAACCCTGCTGGCGATGGAAGGAGCCATCGCCCTCTCCGGCTCCCTGGCAGCCAGGCAATCGCTGCTCTCCCCGCCGGGCACGGCGGG